ATGACGACAAACAAACGAGCGTCGATTGAGTTCCAATGTGAATTATCTGTGGTGTATGAAGTAAACCATGCAGTTTTTAGACGTCATGATAGGACTATCGGGGCGGAGCTTTATAATTTAAAAATATTGTTATTTCGATTTTAGAATCCACGTAACACATTGTACTTGTTGTTAAAATCCTGTTTAGAGCTGAAAATCCAAATAAAAGGTTCATAAACTAAACTTAATATTAATATTAAGCGATTTTGGGAAAAATTGTATTCTTAATTTTCATCTTATTTTTATATGTAGAATCTGGTTTTGCTACGTTTTTTTGTGATACTCTGTATATTTAGCCATAGCTTCGTAATTTAGGGGAATGCCTCAATTACACCTATATAATTCCTATACGTTAATGAACTAGTTCAGCACATATATTAATATTTTATCAATGCATTATTCGCATTTTATATTAGAAAACATTACTATGCAACTTATTTGCATTGCATTGGTTTTCCAGCATCTCAGCAGGAAACGGTAGTGGCGGTCCACAGTCGTACCAACCTGTAGATATTTGCGAAAACGTTTGAATACACGTAGGTTTACATTCTTATGAGACGCTCCCCTTTATTTTTTTTATATTATTTTTTTTTTAACATGACTGCATTTTTTAACATGGTTGACAACTTAAGGGGATTCGCCACTGAAAAGGGTAAATTTTTTTATTTAATGAGGAAAGTTGTGAAACTATTTTTTTTCTAGTAGGGTATAGTTTAACAAAAAATGGAAAAATTTTGGTTTACTTCTAAATATAAATTATAGGTGGTAAAAAAATAAAATAGAGGTTTTTCGATCAATTTGTAAGGGGTTTTAAAAATCGATATTCTGAAGAGAGTTCTTTATGGATTTTGATAAATTTGGTGTTTTTTTAAAGACAGTTATCTAAACTTAATATTTAGGTAGATTCGTAATAATATCTCAGATACTTTTTTTGCTGTGACAAAATAAATATAATTTTTCTTCAGAAAAAAAAATTAGTTTGAAAAAAACGTTATTGTTCAGTACCTAATTAACTTAGATACCTAATTCTACCTAAATATTTTCCTAATACTGTCTAGAATAAGTAGTAAAAATTTCAACAATGTACCTTTAGTGGCTCTCAAGATATATCAAATTTTGTATTGAAAAACGTGAAATTTCAATGTTGCGGAAAACTGCGTTTGAATAAGAAGGTGTCCTATGATCTTGTAGCTATCGTAAAGAGCGAAACCCCTTGGTTATAACATATAATAACATTCATACATGGATTACATCATACTTTTTGGATGTAATAGGGTCCAATGTACAAAGAAATGTAAAAAAATATTTTTACAATTTTTCATGATTCTTACCTATTTTCCGTGGCAAATCCCCAAATCCCCCAGTGGCAAAAAAATGGAAAACCCTGTAGCCTATATTTTATGATTGTTTTGGAAAGTAAATGCGATATCAAAAAGTTTGTATTTTTTAAGTTCTTTTTATTAAGCTACTCGTTTAGGAGTTACGGCTTGTTGCACTTAAAAAGTGGCTTGCTTTGTACATTCTAAATCCTGCAGCTCATAAACAAGTATGTTTGGAGAGGATAATGCAAATACACTAGTAAATAAGGCTTAGGCCTACATAGTGTCTACATTCTAAAAATGTCATATGATAAAAATATATTAAAAATATTGATTCAATTTATTTAAAAATGACTACCATTTGCCTAAAGTGACAGCTAACTTTAAAATTGAAACACTCTGTATTTTATGGTCTTTTAGATGCTATTTTAAGTACCAAGGCGTATTTACTCTTTGAATTTCCTCTCAAAACTTACTCGTTTAGGATGTACAGGAGCAGAATGTACACCACATGCCATTTTTTCTTAGGTGCAACCACAGACAAGAGACCACCATTAATTGTCTATTAATGTAATGCAACAAGCTGTAACTCCTAAACGAGTATCTTTAGAAAAGAATTTAAGATAAATAGTATATTTCATCACTAGGGCCTAAAGTGACTCTTTTTGACCAGAGGTCAAGTTTTACGTTCGAGGCGAAACAGAGGTCGGAAAATCAGCGAGGGTTAAAAAAGTCACTTTTTGCCCGTGTGGTGAACTATATTTTTCGTCATATTGAATCATTAATCAACAAAAATAGAGCTAGAAAACTAAATAATTTTTATGTAAAGATAACCTCTCAAAACGACTTCCAGCTTGTTTTCAATTCTGCTAATACAAATAAGCAAGTGTTTACTGTGATTCAATTATTTTGTATATTACGATTGTGTTATTATACCAACAAATGTCGTGCAATCGACAACAATAGGCTAAAACCTTACCTATAGTTCGGCCGCTTAGAAAGCGACCACCTCCAGCATTGGTTTAGCATTAGCGCGCGTCGTTTTCTAAGCGGCCGAACTATAGTAAATCAATCGATAAATAATTTCGATTGATACGATTGCAACGATCGAAATTTACAACTGTTTACAACAGCTGAAAATCAGTTACTACTTGGTGACTGCGTAGTGCATGTATTGCGTGTGCTGCGCCTCAGCTCAGCATGCGCTAACCACGAACAAAACAACCTGCGCAGAAACGAAAAGATCACTTGGTTCGCGCCGGTAGGTGGGGCGTACCATTCAAACCTGCGCGGCTCGAAACGGCCCAGGGTTCTTTTGTTTCTGGTATTACTATAGTCAAAAATTCGTGTGCTGCGTGGCTTGCGCCGGGTGCGCCGCAAAACTTGGCTTGCGTGCGTTGTGTCACGTGTGTCTCAGCATACGCCCGGTCTTACACACACTCACACACAAAAATATTGATTCCATTGTCTCAAAAATGGCCACCATTTTCCAAAATGGCAGAGAAATTTGAAAATAGGAAACCCTAGATGCATTTTATAATCTAGATGCAATTTTAAGACTTTTTTACTCTTTAAATTTTCGCTCTAAACGTACTCGTTTAGGAGCTACATGATGCAGAATGTACACCGCAAGCCCGCAAGTCATTTTTTCTTAGTTTTAACACGCCGTAACTCCTAAACGAGTAGCTTTAGAGAAAAATTGCCAATAATAAAAACTTTTTTAAATTATATATTTGCTTTCTAAAACAATCATAAAATATAGGGTCTTTCATAAGAAAAGTAAAAGTTGGCGGCCATATTGGAAAAATGGCGGCAAAGATGTTTTTTTGAACTTGACCAAAATTGCTTAAATAAAAAATCCAAGGCAGTTACAATTTATCATTTTGTTACATCTCTTATAACTTTCGAATAAAATAGGTGACACACTTATATCAATCACCCTGTATAACATAAAAATATAGTATAGTTGCCTCTTTCATAATCATTATTATAAATTACTCCTTCAATCTCTTGGATATCTGTTTAAATTACCAACAAGATAAAAGCTTAATCATACACTAACAAACCCTTTAATATGTGGCATTATGTAGATCACTCTAAAAACGATTTTCGGAAATTAAAATGACTACTGTATCTTGGATTGTTATGTGACGCAAGAATTAATCTAATCACAGAATAATTTGAAGCTTGCAGACCAACCCCTGCAACAAGTACATTTTTACTTTCTCCCCCTATACCATAGTATATGGAGAAAGTATTGTTTTCGTCAAAATTTTCGAGTTTGAGTTTTGAGTGGATATATTCGTTTTGGGTCCCCCTGGACCCAAAAAAGTGGTTTTCGAAGTGATGTCTGTGTGTGTGTGTGTGTGTGTGTGTCTGTGTGTCTGGATGTGTACAGAGCTAGAGACTACACCTGTGGTCCGATTTCAATGAAATTTGGAATGTAGGTTCTAATCCATGGTATCTCCAGGCGTTTTTTTCATTTTTTTGAAATTTTGATTTTTAATGGGGATTTTCCCATAAAAACCCATAAAAAACGGGAAAAATTGGATTTTCTCAAAAATGGCCCGAACGATTTTGATAAAAATATAGTATGTTGTAGCCCTTTGAATTCTGAATAAAATGGTACAAATCCCATTTCTGTAAAAATTACGGTTCAAAAGTTATGGTCAAATATGTTATTTTCCCATAAAAACCCCATAAAATAACAAAAAATAGGATTTTAGAAAAAAATCCTGTTTTGTTTTAACATAGTAGGTTATGGTCGTTACAATTTTGATAGTTTTTTTAGAAATTTGTATTTTTTATGGGAATTTTCCCATAAAACCCTATAAAATAACTGAAAAATCGGATTTTCCCAAAAATGGCTCGAACGATTTTGATAAAAATGTTGTATGCTATAGTCCTTTATATTCTGAACAAAATGGTACAAATCCCATTTCTGTAAAAATTACGGTTCAAAAGTTATTGTAAATTATGTCATTTTCCCATAAAACCCCCATAAAATAACAGAAAAATCGGATTTTCCCGAAAATGGCCAAAACAATTTTGATAAAAATTTTGTATGTTATAGTCCTTTAAATTCTGAACAAAATTGTACAAATCCCATTTCCGTATATTTACTCTCACCGCTTACACATAATAAAGGTTGTAGACAAACTTGTGGGAGAAAGTATGTGTCAGAATGCTGATACCGTTTATTAACCATGTAAAGAACTTAGAAGCTTTCACTAGCTATAACCGATGGCAATCCAAAAAGCACAACTAAGCTGCATGAAAAGCACAGTAGTAGTGCCCTCTTTAGCAAGACAAATTGCTCCAATAAAAGCCTTTTTTTTATTAGATTTAGAGTTGACATTTTTTTTGTTTTGTTTGGTTTGTTTTGTTTGGATCTGGATCTGGATGACGCCTGTTTGAATTTAAAATCCATTAACGGCTGAAAGAAGACAAAATGAAAATAATAATATTTTAGCTGAATCTAATAAGCAGAAATGGAGTGATAGATATAGAACAGCTTCTCTTATTAAATAAAACTAATAAGTTATTGGGCTTAAGACTAGGCATTATGACTTGCTCTTGTTTTGCTCGCTCAACTATTTGAGAGGTTGTGACAGTTGTAGTTTGTAGTGTAGCCAAGTAAACATGGATTTTACTCAAGTAAGTTTACGATGTAATCCTGAATTTATTATAACCCTAATCTAAATAACACTAGAGAAACTACAGAAGAGTAACACCAAAATACGTGTTTCTTAATGGTCTACCTTTATCTTTAATCGATAATAGAATGTAGGCTGGTACATCACTCTCTTTCATTAGGCTCACCACCATAAAACATCAAATTAAAACTTCACGTAGGCCTACGCTTAGGCTACCGGTAGGCCTATCTGTTAAAAGTTGAGGCTGATAAAATGTTTGTTGTGTAGGTCCTAGGTTCTTATGGTATTTATGAACAAAAGTAGTGGGTACAGTTTCTTAACTGGGCTACGCTAAGTAATATTGATTTAAAATATCAATTAATAATCAATATTTTTAACTTTAACTATATCAATTATAAAATAAATATGTTTTAACCTAACGAACCAAACTTACTGATACTGTATAGGCTACCCTAACCTAAGTTTAATGAAACAATCAAATGAGGGTTTAACTTAATGATCGAATCGATAGTTTCAATCGTTATTAGCATAGCCTAGCCCAGTTAAGAAACTGTACCCAAAGTATAGCCTACACATACTAACTACTAAACTTACTACTGTTTACTACTACTATTAATTACTAAGTTAACTTACTATTGGCGGTCAATAGTTACACTTTAATATTGAGGTCTTTGTCTAACCTAGAAGAGAAATAGACTACTACCACGGTAATTCTAAAGATGCATCCTGTAACGTTATATCAAAGGCAGTAGAAATTCTAAAACCAACTGTTTTTACATAACTTACCCTACCTAGTGTTTCTGATTAAAGTTTCTAATATCTTTGTAGCCTAAACTTAGTCGTTAACTTATAAAGGAGGTCTAATATTCTTAAAACAATAGACAATAACTTAGCTGATTATTATTTCTATTAGCATAAATATGTAGCCTACTGTAATGCAATCGTACACAGTCAAGAAATGTTCGTGGTAAAGAAACACAGAGCTGACACATGTGAAATCAGATATGTCTAAGTTAGGCTATATAAGAACAACGGCACTAAAATATGGGTACCTAATTAATTGATAAAACACCTAAGGCGATTAAAAAAAAAATTGGTTAGGGATGGGCTAAATTAGGCAATTCGAAGCACTTTTTCCTCTGGCACTGCCCGGGCAAACACACTTTTCACTCAGAAATTTGTGTTTTAAGGTTGCCAAAAACGCTAACGGTAACTCCGAAAACGTGATTATTCGTTCATTTATTTTTATTTAAGTAGGTTACCGTATGTGGGTATTTAAATATCATTAAGTTGGTAATCTGTTGAAAGTGCCTAACAGCCAACTGAACCCAACCAAACCTACCGATCCACACATGCCTAAATAAGGCAACCTTAAAATGTGAATTTCACGGCGGAGTCTGCTCCAAATGTTGTCAGAGGAAAAAGTGCTTAAAGAATAGCGTAATTTAGCCAAAAATAAACAAAAGGTTTTTAAAAACTGCAAGAGTAGCTTAAGTTCTTTAACAAAATATGTTGTAACCTACCAGATTGACAAGTCACAATGAGAGGCGATCGTCTATGTAGTCCGCTACAGAGTAATAGGATTGGTCCCTTAAAATTTCGGAAACAGTTAAAAAAAATCTATTTAGTTAAAGAGTAAATTGCTTACGATTAAGTTTGTCTACTTTACTCCAACCCAATTAGTTTTCAAATTGATTGAGCCTGGAAATGTAAGAATTTGGTAGTCTTTAAATACAGGTTAACTTAAAAACTCATTGTAACCTACATAACTTGACATAGGCTAAGTAACTTAATCAATCACCCAACTTGTCTTGAATACTTTCAGAAAATTCTGGAACGGAATTGCTTGGAGAAAGTAAAAGAAGAAGGAAATCCTGCTAGTATACCCGAGAGAGTTCAACAGGGGATGAAAACTAAAATATATTCTACCAATGGTAAGTTAAGCTCATGATGGCATTTCATTTGAGCCTATCATTTTGTGAGGTGTGACTTAGTGAAAAATAATAATAATCCTGATCCTACATTATAGCACTATCTCTCAATGGAAAAACTTTTATATACATTTTTCTTACAACAAATAAATAAGAAAACAAGTTTTTAAACCTAATTTCAATCCAACATAGGAGTCAAATTGGTATCACGCATACCAATTTGACAATGTCGGAAACAAGCCGAAACATATATGATTTCCTAATTTAAGCTGTACGTTGGTTTAATAATAAAGTATGTGTAAAACCTAGTTTTCCTATTGATCAACAGCTCTGGGGATAGCAGGGTGTCTACTTTCCGCTCATGGAAGTCAATTTTACCAGGCGGCCATGGAAGACAATGATTAGTATCGGATTTTAATTTTAAGATCTCAAAAGCCACAGAAAAAAATTGGGCCTAAGTAAAATTAATTTTCTTAAACCGCCTTTTGTTTTGCCCCTGATTAAATTCCTAGTGGAATCAGAGAGCAATCAGGAGGACCAGACGGGAACAGGCAACCATCTCAAAATCGTTACAAGGCTAAAAATACGCTAAAAAGTATGCCTGACTATCTTTAACTCAAGTCACTGAAAAGTTTGTCTTATTGGTACTCAAACATCCTTCGTTTTAAGGGTTTTGCTCTCCCCCTAAATAAACTAACGTAGTCACTGAAAAAGTAATTTTAACGAAAGATAGGACTAGGCATATCCTAGAAATTATTTTAACTTATTCCACAACTAAACTCTTTCACCTTATGATCAAATCACATCACAGTACAGAATTGACTTGTCAATGCTATTAGTTAGGCTATTACTTTCAGCATATTACATATTACACGACTAGCTGAAGAAAAAAAAATCTAATTAAAAAAGTTTGACCAAAAATATGTTAAGTATAGTTAGGGCCTATTCCTTTTTTTCGTTGCTGGGAAGAAAGTTCGACTCATTTGATTTTTTTAGCTTACCGGTACTGTGTTCTTTTTTCAGGTCAATAATATGAAAATGTTTTAAGACTTTTTTTATTTTTTATTGGTAAATACCAACAATTACATACAAAGAACTACAGTAGGCCTATTGTTCTGAAAAATTACCTCTATGATGGATATTAAAATCCGTAGCTAAACAGGTGTTAACTTAAAACAAACATAAACTTTGTCACATTGATTTACAGACAGTGTTCAAAGAAACAGTAGAATCACAGTTGCAAGAACTGCTACTGGCAAACTCCCACCATTGAATCCGTCACACGCTACCATTGAAGTAGTCAGCGATGGAACATCTACAGACACTGGGAGTGAATCTCCTGACAACAAGGAAAATGAACATATGGAACACCATCAATATTTCCCTTCTCAACTACAACATTCAAAAGCCACGTATATAGGTACGCATATATGTTAAATTTTAAAGTAGCCAACTAATTGATGTACGTATTCTCAGGTCTGCCAATTGAGCGGAGGAAACAAAGAGTGTTATTTAATCATCTTCTTTCTAAAAAATACACTACTTGATCAAAAAACATAGATCTATGAAGTGCTCAATTTGCGACAGAACGCCATTCCGGTACCTCTGTTTTGGAAAGATGCAAATATTGGCATACATAGGTAGGGTACATATCACATTAAATCGGTTACAGTTCCGGCACCTCATTTTTTACAAATTGAGCACTGGACGTATAACAACTTTTAGCCATCCATACAATAATTCATCATACGAGTATCTAGCCTAATTAATTCATTTTAAACACTCCCTTGAGTGTTTTCATTTCCATTTTCTTTACTGTCCATTTCACTGTTCTTGTTTACGCTTGTAACCAAAAGACATTGATTTGAGCAAATAATTTGTTGATTTAATTTGCCCTATCAAAAATGGCTCAATCAGTAAGCCTGAGGTAGTTCTTACTTTAAACAATGTAAGAACTACACATGGTTATTTGTGTAGCCTTTTGAATCAATCACTCTCTGTCTCTGCACAACCCCATCTCAATACTTTAATGCTAAAGTGAAAGCTGCTAAAATCTCATATTTTTTGTATACAGTATTCCTGATAATGAATAGTGGTTAAAGACTAAATCAATGGAGAGAGCAATGGTAATTTGTTTTTATTCAGTTTTGTTCTCTGTATTAACATAGAATTCCATTTAAATCAAGTTAGATTACATAATTTTCTACATTTATTGTAAATTATTTATATAGATTGGTTCCAAACCCTTGGATGGTAAAGTAAATAAACAACATAATTTTAATATTATTTAAATATGAATAATGTTGTAGATGATTCTGATATGCGTGCTGCACAAAAAACAAAAGACGTCTTTGCCCTCAAAGAGCCTAAAGTTAACTCTACAGTAAACTTGATCAACAAACCTGCAGGTCGAAAAGCAAGATTGGCTGCTTTAGCAAGTACAATCAATAATTGGGAAGACGATGTTAGACATTTTACTGTAGCGAAGGTAAGAATAGTTTGATTTGTATTTTTTTCAAGGGCTTATGTCAGTATAGTGTTTGCATTTTAAAACAATGCAGTTGAACACCTACTTAGTAACACCAATCTTGGAAATTACAAACCAACACAAGGAAACAAAGAGAAAGAATCAAGAATTTGTATTCATCATAAGTGCTTTGTACATTACATGCATTGGATAAACGTCAAAACTAAACAAATGTCTGGACAGTGTTTTTGTCCATAAAAACAGGTCATTATGTCCTTTGTAAATATTTTTATGTTTTACTCTGATCATTGAGGGGTGGTAATCAATAAGTGTCTACCGCAGAAATGTAAAAAAAAAAGAAATATTGTAACGTAATTCACAGATTACTTTGTTATTTGCTCCCAAAAATCAATACTAAATATCATAAACAACAATTTAAATTATTTTGAAGTACCGTAGGCTATCTGTAAAAAATTAAAAGAATATTGGATGCAAGAGCAAAATAAATCCAAACAAGAGTGGTATACTGCTTACCTACCTATTCTCCATGAAGGAGTTTAGAAACTTCAATTTGTTTCATTTGAAAAATAGTACCGGTATTAGTTATCTTACCGGCTCTGTCTTGCTTATCACAAAGTACCAGAGCTGAAAGCGCACAGTCGTCCCATTAGTGTGTTCTTCCGTACCTTACCTTTCTGTAGTTACAACTAAATCCTCTTTGGTTCTGAATTCAGAGGTGATCAAACACTTGCAAATACAGTAGAACCTCACTAATTCAAACCTCGATAATTCTAAAAAAAGTTAGAAATGTTTGTTCCCCTCAGAAAACCTCTGAAATTCTAAAAATAATATGCCGATAATTCAAAGTGATTTTTACGCTTAATGCAGCCTCTACAATTCAAATTTGCACGTACTTGAGCCTCAACAATTCAAATTTTGTTGCCGTGATTCAAACTGTTTCCTCCAAAATTTGAAGTCAACCTGTACAATTTGTCGAACTGTGTTACCGTAACTCTCTGTAATTTGAATTCAGGACAAAAAATACGCCTTTTGGAACATGAACTGACGCTCTTATTCATGTTCCCATGACGTGTTCATTAGTCTCCGTTCTCTCAAAGTCTCTACCGTACTCTTAAAACTGGGACCTCCATAATTCGAAATATATTGTCTTTCTTCTGAAATTCAAATTAGTGAGGTTCTACTGTATTAACCTTTGAGGCATTCAAAGTAATTAGCATAAGATTATGTAAGTTTGAATTCATATTTTGTATTACTCAGCAGTGTGATACTAAGGTATCAAACAAATCTTCAGTGTTTACCAAGCACGCAGTTATGAAAGATAAAGAAAACAGTGCACACAGAAAGTTTGTCTCAGTGCCGAAAAAGGGCATTGTCTTCGGTAAAACAACCGAACATTCTTCAGCTACAGTTCAGAAAGCTCACACAATCAGTCGTAAAAGGTCTGAATCATCAATGGAAACTGCTCTAGAACCTAAGAGAGCTTTGATTGTCGGTGACACCAAGGATAACACCAAGTCAATGGTTTGGGACAAGACAGTTTTAGACTCACTGGTGAGATATTGCCACATTGGAAGTGTAGTTGGCATTGTCATTGATCTTCTAACCCTATCCTATTTTGATCTTTCTTTGAACAAACTTAGTTGTTGTTTTAAAAATATAGTTGTTTCCAAAACCTTACTTAACACAAGTACTCTGATAACTAAATTGTACAAATATTAATTATCTAACCCTAAACAAGCACTCTACACAGCTATATAGTAGTTTCTAATTTTTGTTTGCTACCCCCTTATTATTTAATACACTTAAGACTATGTATATAAAAGCTTAATTTCAAATTTTAAAATTGAACACATACAAAAATTTCTTAAATTTACTCAACTGCAAAAAACACGGTAAAATTACTCAAAATTTTCAAGCCAAGGCTTTTTTTATTTTAGCAAATTTTCCATATAGGGATTAAGCTATTACTGTAGGTCTCATGGTAAGGGTAAGACCTGGACCCGGGACCGATTTGATTTGGATTTACTTTGTCGTTTTTATGTCCTCAGAGTCCAAAAACACCACCTGTTCAAATTCATATAATATTCATATTTCATATAATATGTATATGTAATCCATCCGTTAGCACAATAACTCAAGCAAAGATAATACGATTTTGATGGAATTTTGGTACAAACGTGTAAATCTAAGTTAAATCAAACGAGTTCACGAACCAGCGTAATGGAAACTGGGATTTATGGGGTAAAAATGGGTATTCTAATTTTTTTCAAAATCTATACCATTTTGAAGAGATTAAAAAACAAATAATTTAGTATATTGAAGTATTTTGTACGGTTTTTGGTTACGGAGCAAATCCAAAAAATTGTAAATATAAAACTCCCATGCTATTTTTAGGGAGGAAAGGTAAACTGTTTTAGTTTACTTTTTTATGGATGTATTTAGATCAGACTTGGCAAATTTATTTATTTTATTGGCTACTAAGCTATTAATATTTTTCTAAAAACCCCACTTTATTAGTTACCCTCCCTGTATAAGCAAACCTAGCTACTCGTTAATCCTAATGTTATTGAAATAGATTTAATTTCAAATCAAATCAGGCAAATGGATTTACTTAGTCTGCTGGTTCGCTCCTACGAGGGTATTGTGATATTAAGGCTTTTAGGGTTAGGTCATGTGTGACCTTAGCTTAAAAAAATACACATTGTTTTCAAAAAATGTTGTATGGTTTTACATGTTTGTTAAAAATAGCATCTTTGCAACAAAAAATAAGCCAATTGTTTTCATATTGTTTTAGGAAGCCCAAGGATTCTCAAGGTCCATTTCAAAGCAGAGGTTGATTTACAATTACAATGAAGAAGAAAACCTACCGTCTCCTGTCAGGGCATTATCACCCACCAAAGCAGCATCTTCTGATAAATCTCAGTCTTCAATGTCTCGTCTGAAAACCTCACCTGTCAAAAACATGTCACCCGTGAAAACAAGGTAGGCTTATGGCTTTCATTGATTTTAGCAGAATTTGATCTTATTTGTTTTTTATAATGGTAACTTTTACTTGATGTCAGTAGTAATAATTTTGAGTTGTGTGAATTCATTAGTTATAGTATTTTTTTTTATTTTTTTTTTATTTTTGACGACACTCCTGTCTTTGTACGTTGTACTATGTAAGATGTTATGAGTGAATAAAGAATTTGAATTTGCTCACAGAGAAGCTCACTTCTCTTAATAGGTACAGTATTTGAATATAGAGGATACAAGCTTACGGGACAACCGTGCACTTTTAGCTCTGGTATGTTAGTGCGGAAATAAACTTGTACCGGTGATGGCCACATAGCATATTTGTACAGCAGTTGTAGCGCACAGGTAGTTTGTGTTGAAGTATGTGTTGGCGGGGGGGGGGGGGGGGGGGGGGAAGGAGAGCGGAATGGGACGATGAATAGAATTTGCTCTAGACATTAGCGACCGGTGCTAGACACCACTTAAGTCTACCATTGAATGTATCTTCTCTGTGGTAGGATGAATCATAGATAAAACATACTCACTTAGAGATTTCTCATCCTTATAAAACAGACGAAGCCAATTTTATTGTTAGTTTTGTCCGTTGCACTGAAGGGGTTGTGTTTTGTTTACAATTTGTTTCCTGTTATATCAGTCATAGTAAAATAACCAAAGAGTAAAACACAAATCATTAAAATAATAAAAACAAAATTTCTTTGACACTAGCAATCAGAATCACTGTACTGAACTTACTAACAACTTTTGCAATTTTAATAAAATAATTAAGTAGTCTAGGAAAATAATATTTCTAATTGACCATCAAAGGTTGAGAGGAGTCTCAGCTCAACTCCACTTGCATACTGAATTGAGTTCAACAATAACCGGACTATAGAGTAAAAGGGGAATCAATTCAACCTCGTCTTAATAGTTTATTTAGCTTATTTTGTAAGCATTTCTTTACAACATCAAAAATGAATATTTCCTGACTTAAAAATATGATTTTACATTATTGTTGAGGAAGAATATCAAGTAGTAATTTAAAGTAAAAAGGTCATAATTTTGTGTCTGCATATTAATTATTTTATATTATTTACAGATTTGACAGTCATCACCGTACTGGTAAGGCGACGACAGTTACCAGCACCAAAGTGCAAAGTGAGAGTGCATTTGATGAAAAGGCTGTGTTAATGAGATCAAAACCAATTCAAAGCCATTCAGGACAGTCAAGTAGAGATAAGAGTCCTACGAAGGTACGAGACCCTGCTGAACTGTCAGTTGCTGAGCGCATGGCTCTGTTTGAGCGCAACGCAGGTCCTGCGGTCATGCCTAGGCCTCTGTTTGGTGCATCCTTGTCTTGCAGTCAGCTGCCTAAGAAAACTATGAAAACTTGCCAACAGCTCAGTTCAGGTAAACATTGAATCTTGATGGACTGTTAGTGATTAGAGTAACCGTCTTACATTATGTTAGTGTCCGTTTCAGAGTAAGGTCTACTGTAAATGCCTCAGACCGGTGACTGTAGACTGTAGGTCTTCTTTATATACTAGAGTGCTTTCTACGCACTATATCAAATTGAATGTTGAATGTTTCAAACTATGGATTATACCTGCGAGCATAATTAAGAAAAGAGAGGTGAAATACACAAATCAAAATAAAACTTTCTTTAATGATGATGTACAGTGTTGTACACTTAATGACGCAAAAAATAACTTATCCATCCTAAAATAATATGCACATGTAATATAATTTTAGTATTTAATAAATACATTCAGAATGTTTTGCTAAGATTGATGTTTTGTCTGGTTAAACTATTTAGGGAAAGTAAGGAGAATAACGTTTTGAAAATGTACAGTACATAGAAGACTGACTCAATTAATCCAATCAATCACGGCATAACAAAACAGAATCCTTTAATTTAAATCTTATCTTAGTTGGGAATTTGTGTATGTAAACCTCAAGGAATAACGTACCCTTTTCAGTTTCTTCTCCTTTAGTGTTCAGTATTGTACACTTAATGTCGTTGAATATAACAGTTCTATTCCTCAATTCATACATTAAATACAGTACCATTTTCTGATTGTGACATTGTGTCAGGTTAAACTTGGTGAAAGAATTGAGAGAAGAAAAACTTGCAAATGTATGGTGGGCTAAGGGACTCAACTAAATGAGTTCCTGGTTATCACTTAACCAAATCCTGAGAATTAAAACTCACCTTAGTTGGAGTTTGCAGTTTGTACACAAGCCTCAAGGCATAGGAAACCACTCTTAGTCTCCCTTCATTCCACCCTTATTGGCTTCACAAAAAATATGCAAATACAACGATGAAAACCTCTTGATTAATCTGTAATTTTCCAAAAACTATGTATTTAATGTTCTGAACATTTTCGACTAACTATGTTTTAGGATCACTTCATGAACGTGTTGCCTTATTTGAAGCAAGACCTCATGAAAACCAGTGTACAAAAGAAGCTGTAAATGAAAGACAGAGAGAGTTAGAAGAGCTAAGGCAGAGGTGTAACTTAAATAAGGAACATTCTACAACATTAAAGGAAGATTTAAAGGTAAACAATAGGTAGTTAAAACTAGGGGTTTTAACTTAATAGCCAGTATAGTTTACTTATACAAATATTTTTTGTGTACACCAAAATGTTCAGAATTTTTTATGTTTTTACACGGGATTGTTTTTCAAGTATGGGAGTTGATACCCTACGGGATTGCAGGAGGTGCAGGTACTTGCTAACTACCCTCTTGCAGACAATTGATGACACAACTTCTGTGAAATCCTTAATTAACTTACTTACCCAAGTTAGTCTCTTCTGCTTCTTTTCTCCTATCCCCATTATCCTCCTGTCCTGATGTACGAGATCCCACCACCTGGCTGATGGTCTTTCTCTGGGTCTTCTTCCCTCGAGTGTTTCTTTTGGAATTTTCTCTAGGTTAGACTTATTGTTCCTTAAAACAAGGAACAATCCTAAGTCTATCTCGGTTCTTAATCCACCTGTTAGTTCGGAGCTCAAGTGATGGATCTACATATCTTGGAAACAAATAATGGTACGTCTCGTATTATTTGACAATTTCCTCCAATGAAAGTTATACAATTATTTATTTTAGTTCAACTTTGTGAAAGTTATTATATCATTTACAGACACCAACGCCTCCGTCACCCCCACCACTGCCTTCCCCTCCGGAGCCGTTTGAGTTTGGCAGAACTAGTGGGCGTGGTTATAGCTGTTACGATGAGGAAGAACAGAGTGTGTCACCTGAGCAAGGTAGGTTTCAAACTGTGTAAGCTGTTTCATTTGGGTGTTACTTGCTGTAATTCTCTGCTATTACTTCATGCGTGAGAGTTGGCATCTCAAAAACTTCTATTGGCAGTCATAGAAAATACTATCAGAAAAAAACAGAGTATATATTGTTTTGAAAATCTATTTGTTTTTTATTGAAAGTAGGAATACATATTTTATAGCAGGCTATTTCTAGACAAAAAATATTTTTTCATATGAACAAACAAACTGAAATGCTATAGAAAACTTTTTCAAATTTTGCTTCAACACTGTGTTATTAAACATTTCAGACTTTTGTAATGTTTATAGTTGGAACATTTTTTCAATATCTGCAAATAGCAAATACACTAATTTTTACTAGTATACAATTTAATTTTCAAGGAAAAGCTATGTGACTGATTAATGAGTACTTTTTGGAAGTTAAAGAGCTCAGATAGCTTACCTGCCTATATTAGATTTGTGTACAAATTAAGTTCAAAACAATATAACACTGTTCAAATGCCCTAGTTTAGAGCCTCTTCAGAAAGCTTATGGAATCAAAATATCTTTACTACTATGTAAGTAGTTAAACAGTTACGATACTACTCGGTTCTCCTTGATTTGTACGAACAAGGATGTTGGGAAGATTGTTGTGTTAATTCAATTTGTATGTTTTTAGTCAACCCTCAAAGGCACAAATCTAAAGAACTGAGAAAAGTGAGATTTTCTTCAACCAATCTTGAATGTTCCTATATTGACCAGCCAAATTCAGATATGGAAGACGATTTAGAAGAAGGATATAAAAACAGGTAAAGCCTACGCACTAGTTAGGTAGGCCTACTGTACTGGTAAGCAGATCCATTTCTCATCATGAAAGGTCACATTTTATTTTATTGATACCAATAAGCCGTTGTGGTGGTAAAAAAGTAACAAAGAAGTTTGATTTTATTTGCTTCATAATTTACTCTACATCAGTGTTTCCCAACCAGTGTGCCGTGAAATTTTAAGTAGTTAACAAATTTTTGATCAAGAAAGAAACTTCTAATGAGCAAACGTCGAGCACAAATTTCCCACTAGAACTCAAACCAGGGTTTATTAAATATTTCTCACTCATTATTGGTAAATTAATACAAAATTTTAATCAAGCTCAATGTTTTATTATTATTTAAAACTTCCCACTTAATAAACACTAAATAATGTACGCATGTTAGATAACAAACGTGAGTTTTATATTTTTTACCTTATATATATATTTACTAGTAAAAAATAGGTTTTACGGAGTAAGATTTAATTGAAAAAAAGAGTTTTTTATGCACTTACTAAATGTAATTTTAACCAACGATATTTTGTAGACAAGTGTGCCGTGACTACAAACTTTTTCTAGTTAGTGTGCCCTGAACGGAAAAAGGTTGGGAAACACTGCTCTACATTGTCTGTATTTGCTACTCATACAAGTGTGATCTTGAATTATTAAATTGGAACTCTTGAAGCAAGGTAATTCAAATTATGCTAGACTACCAATATAATCCAATATAATATCCAATATAAATAATAGGTTAATTTACCTTAATTGCGTCTTGTGACTCCTTTACCTCCTCTAGGGTGGATTACGATCGTTACGGCGACAATGTCGTCTTCTTCCAATCCTTGTCAAGAATATCAACTGATTTTCACTTTTTTTGTGTGATGGCAATTAGGCTGACCTGTTAAAATTGTAAAAAAAATTGTTGGACTTGATTATTTGACCTAAACTGGCAAGGTCGAACACTGAAAAAAACAACGTTCTCGCTGGCGCGGTAACTGCGCAATGAGTTGATGATGCTCCGTGAGTTTTGGATAATCTAATCCTAAATATTTGAATTTGCGTCATTAATAATTATAATAGAAGCAATAAAAGGTGTATTCCCTCTTATCCTCAGGTTCAAGACTGCATATCCCAATCAGAAACTTTAAAACACAAAGAAAAGGATAGACAAACAAAAACATGTATACACACTTTGCAATATTGTTTCAGTTATGTACTTGTCTGAATTTTTATAAATTAAGTTTATTTACAGATCCTCATTGAGCACAAGTTCAAACGATTCAGATGTTGGCAGTTCTAGAAAAGAATATTTGAATATCTCTTCATCAAGCTTGAAGGTAACATGTTCAACTTTGTTGTTCTGATTCTCATAAACAACATATGTAGTCAACTGGCATACATTGTATACCAGACTCACAAACAGTAAACAATTGTATTTGTATTTTGTGGACAAGTAATTTAGATAGTCTTAGTGGTTTTACATTATTTGTAGTTTTATGAAGAACACATGATTTTGGGTGTAATTTGCTAGCTAATAACTTTCACCTAATGAAATATGTTAACCCTCCTCAATATTTATGCAAACTGAATTAAGACAGGGATCTGAAATCATTTATTGAAGTGTACAATATCATTTGGAAGAGTTAATATTGACTCAAAGATACCTTTTTCTTTTTCATTATCAAGCAAATGTTTTCCATACAGAGAGACTGGTCAACCAGTGAAAGTTCTGGGGCTGATGCTAATGAAGTTGATGAATTCCTGGAAGAAGCTTTGGACAATGATTTGAGTGATGTTTCACAGCCAAAACGCTCGTCATATTCTGTAAGTCTGAAGTCTGTAAAATTATTTATTTAAAAAAATAACTATTAACCTTTTCTAAACGTCATGGTATTTTAGGTGAGGTCAATACTTCAGTATGATAAATATTTTTGGGCATCACTCACCTTCTTGAAATCAGGAGAACACAGTCCTTGTCATATCACAGTTCATTGCACATACACACTGATAAAAATGCAAAAATAAAAATAAAACTAAATATAAAATCACAGACTTAAGTTCTCAATTCCGACGTTTCGCCGCACCAATAAAAACGTGTGGCGTTTTCAAGGTTATTTTGTCTTCTCACGTAAACGTTGTAAGCGCTTAACCACGACTCTTGACTATTTACATTTTTGGTAGTTTTTAAATTTCATAAAACAATAGATGAGAAATTCTCAAAATGATGTAGCCTATATTGAGAGGTATGCTTCACAGGTCTACTAGTACAAAATTAATAAGTAAATGACAAAGTGTTTATTTTTTTTATTTTTTTAAGTGTACGGTTATTGTTTTTTTTTTGCTGCCACTGCCAAACACTTTTAGGCATTGACATCTTATATCACAAAATTGTAAGTGTTTTGCCACATTAAACAGTAAGCAGCTGGTCTCTGAACGGGATTTGGTAAAGTCAGCTGGAGTACCTACTGCAAATTTACTGGCCAGTATTGCAATCCTACTGCAAATTTACTGGCCAGTATTGCAATAGGCTTTAAAAAAGTGATCTCTTCCACAACAAAAATGAAATTTTAAAATTGGTTTTACTTTTATTCATTATTCCTTGATGAACAACTAATTATTGTCTTCTTTAATTTGTAGAAAACGAAGAACGAAGAGGAAAGTTTATACAGAGAATGTCACTCAACAAAAAGGGAACAAAGTCAATCTTCAAGTCCACCCCTTCTTCATACTGTTAGCTTTTATAGAAAACAACAAAATAAGGTAATATTATTTGCTTAAAAATCCTTTGGTTATATTTCCTTTAATTTTTTGTAAGTTTTTTTTTATCCTACTTATCCTATCCTAATTCATAGCATCAACAACTTGTAATATAGAATCAATGTGATTTGTTCAAAAGTTGTGCACATTTTACATTTTCTGTGGATTAATTGATAATTTTTGCCTGTTTGGTTTTGTTGAGTATTCATTTCCTTTTAAGTAGATCATAAATGTAACATATTTTTTAATATAATTTATCATGCGAATTATTTTTAATCTATACTTATTTAACCCATTGGGGAAGGAATTAATGCGCTACCTGCAGCACCCTCTGATGGCAATTAATGTTACCGAATTTTTAGACTTTTACTCTAACTGCTATAGAAAGAAAACCTTAGGTAATAAATTAATAATTCTTTCACCATTTTGTTCACAGTAAAATTGTCTACAGAAAAGTGGTAATTGGACTAACTAAAATTATATAAAGATTTAAAAAAAAAAATTTTAAAAACAATATTTTGAAAGTAAACTTGATATACAAATTCCAAGATTAATCCAGACACCAAATAACACTACTATTATAAAGTTCAAGCGATTCCCGACGTAGAAAAATTAAAAGTTGTGTACTTTTAAAAGTAATAACATTTTTTTTAATTGTTTGTTTACCTTACCGCAGCTGATTTTTGGTGATATGTGGTTTCCATGGCAACACAAAATTGTTTGTTATTCGCTAAAATAAATGAGTAAATACGCAAATCAAGAAGCAAGATATTTATAAACATTATAATAGTAAGAAGAAACAAAAAGGGCGAAAAATAATAATAACTAAATAACTAATGGCGCTGCCTAGCGTTGACACGAGCGGCACTCGTAAGTCGGCCGCCGGGCCTGCAGCGGCCGTACGAGTAACGCTCGCAAGTCGGCGCCAATGGGTTAATACGCAAGCAAGTTTTTTGTGACAATTACTCCTCCGAAACTACTGAACCGATTGACATGATTTTGGTTTCATTGGAAAGAGCATAACGTGAAGTTGTGCAGGAAACTTTCTTTTTAGCTAAATAATTCAAGAATGAGGCCCTGGGGCCCTTTAAAGTTTCATATTTCTCCATAAGATTAACATGGGAAACAAACATTGTTATGAAACTCCAGCTGTTGTCAGAAATGCTGTTCTGCTATTTAATTTAATTTGTTTACAAGGAGAATTGTTTCTTGGTGCCATGTGGTTAATGAATTATACTTTAGCATATATATTTTAAATGCTATACACTATATAAAATGATAGTATCGTAATACATTGAGAGATCTTCATTTGAATAATCAATAAGCACGATTGAGCCTTTGCCTATATGTTTCCTGGTAAGTGTGTTGTAACTGTTTCTTATAGTATATTATAGTATCTCAAAGTAAAACCGAATGATTCTTACCCCGTAGCGAAGCACGGGTAGAGCAACTAGTGTGCTTTTAATTAGCATATGTAAGAGCTTGGTATTTTTTAGGTGCAGACAATCACTTTGCAGCAAAGGATGGAGATAAAACCAACTTATTCAGAGGAAAGCATTGTCTGTGTTGACCATACTGATGATGAAATGGATGATAAACAAGTGAAAGAGAAGGTTGAACAGCTGGAACAGGAGGTAAATATTTTCATGATAACTACACCAGTCATCAGCTGTTTGGTAGGGTGAAAAATGTTACTCTTTCTCTTTGGGTTATGCTTCATTCCCACTAAATGGTTTCTAGCGCCCAGTTGAGAACAGTATGATTTTACGTAGTGTCTATATTTATTTCAAATTACAAGGTTTCTGACCGTATGGCGAGATAAATGTTTACGTCACAATTCACAACAAACATAAACAGTGTCCAATTCACAGGTTAGATTATAAACAACTAGCAGAATACCCGTCCTTCGTACAGGGCATATAAGTATAAAATTCTTATTGCAGTTATTCAAGCATACACACTCACTCCCATGGCCATTTATGCCCAAGACGGGATTCAAGCATACAACATGATCAAAATAATATAATGGAATATTCACATATGATATTTTTTACACTCCAATTGTTTTACCATAGGCTACATAATAATATTATCCATTACTGTTACTATAAACAACAGGGTAAATTATTTTGTTGTATTGAGCAATTAGTCTTAAGTTGAGTCTTGAGCACGGCGCTCCACCCATTAGGCATTATTCTAATTCGTATTTGCAAACTAATGGAATACAGACCTGTATTCTAATAGGCCTAGTTGGTATTCTATTCTCCCTTCACTACAGTCACTGTAGATCACTTTTAGTGATGAATAGAAATCCGTAAGTTGATAGCCCTGACACCCCCACCATTTGCAAAGCATCGGTTGCTGCAGCGTGCCACTAAGTATAAAAGGGGCCTTTCTAAGCGCTAACTGGATGGTCTTTGACAGCCAGTTCAGGGGCGCTTCCCAAATATTAAACCAGCAGTTAAGTATTTTGTGATTCTAGCGTTATTTTAAATGGGATGAACGTGTTTTTTTTTACAGACAAAACATAGTTTGTCCAACCCAAGGCTATACAACAACAACGTAATTTGACAAACAGGTATTGCAGCTTAATGTCACCAAAGATCACTGGTCATGTTAAACATTTTTTTTTTTACTTTTCAAATTATCTACCTAATACAACCCATCTCAGTATGGTTGTAAATATAAACAAAAAAAATAACATACATACATAGGCTACATACATTACATATATCTTGTTGCAGGTGGCCAAGCAGCAGAGCTACATATCACAAGCCAGCCAGGCACTGGACCTTTGTTACTCTTCGTTTGAATTTTCAGGCTCTACTGAGCTGCTGGAAGCAGAAAAGCTTTTGTTACTCGCTTGTAAGTTATCTTTTGCTTTATTGTTCTTCAAACTAATTACGTTTACTCATCTCAAGTAGAATATTGTTGAAACTAATAATTGTTTTTGTAAAAAAAATTACAAGAACTGACATAGGAAGACCAAATTTAGGATCCAGTTGCCACTTGGGAAATTCATTACAAAACTAAAGCCATCTTTATTGTTTTTTTTCTTTTGGCGATTCTCATGAAATATTTAGTTTTTACGACAATAAATCATTTAATTTGATTTAACTATTAGTGACCCTCTGTAAAAACAAATTGATTCAAAACCAAGCCCTAAGTTAGAAACAAGTATGTACAAAAATGTTTAAAATTTTGCTAACACTGATAAACACTGTGCCACAAAAAAAAAACATTTTTATTTTCATGCTACATTTGTCCATGCTAGCTTAAAGATTTATGAAGGTAGATTAAAGATTTATGAAGGTATTGATACCAATCAGAAGTTAGTGACTATAAAGTTGAAACTCGTTTTTCATTGTAATTAAATTTATATTTTGTTACCACGTGTGAATATTTTCCAAAATAAGCACAATGTTGGTTGTTCAACAGCTGATTGATAAAAATGTTTTTCAGCTCTAAGAAAACAAGCCTTGCTACAAGAGATACAGAGGTTGGAGGGTGAAGGGAGATTAGACCTCGGGGAGACTGTGAGTGAGCGAGGCAGTCTGACTATCTCTCGGGTATCCTTACCTCTCAAGATGGATGTGGTACACGATGCTGCTAAGTGTAAGTGTTAACACATGTGGTGCATTCATCATGTTGTATGATTGATTTGTAATATTCTGACAGCCATGAGGGTTTAGTCTCTTATCCTCAACTGCACATTGGCATAGACCTACTGATCTGCGCGGTGATCAGAGAAAGGGAAGTACGGTTGCAGCATAAGGTCAATGCAGTGATAAGATATAGTAGTTACTTGGTTTTGAACCAGCGTCTGACTAACAAGCCTAAGCAGCTACTAATATTGGTTCTGAAAACCCCTAGACTACATATGGCTTTTTAGTTTTTAGTATTACCTTCGTCAGTAGGTCAAATTACGTAAACATTTCAATCATTTATAGCTGACATGTTTTGTTGCAACCAACATCATCAGTGCTGGCAAAAGGTCAAAACATCAAAATAAAAAAAAAATTGGTAGGTTGGTAGGTACATTACACATATGACATTTAAACACACGAAAGGACACAAAACTTGATAGCGCTATCAGGTAACTTGACAGCGGCGGTTGTAAGTAGACTCAGATTTGTGTGGTTTAGTGTTAAATTTTGATGTTTTGACGTGTTGCAAGCTCTGATGATGTTGCATTGCAACAAAACATGTCCCACCAGCTATAAATGATGGAAATGTTCACATAATTTGGACGACTGGTAAGGCTAAAAAGTCTAAGAAGCTACAACTGAGTTGTCTTGGATTTATTTTTTATAAGTAGTTTTGAGGCAGATTTTAGCTAGCTTACCTGTGAAAATTATAGTCCAATATTCAGTCATTGAAAGGAAAATACTGACTGAGGAGCAACGTAGCTGTATGGTATTGTCAGTGTCTTGGACTGATAAACCAGACATTGCTAGTTTGGGAACATCTTGTTGCACTATGTTATCGTTACCGTACCACTGAGGTCACCTCTAGTTTGCCCATGTGGATTCACTGTATTTAGATCACCACACAGACCAGTACTCTATAGCCACAAAAAATGAGGTTTTTTTAAGAAAATCAAATTTTTCAAATTCAGATACTAGTTTGAAGAGAGCTAACATTTCCTTACACAAGTGATACGTACAAATCTGATTCAAACCTGTAGTTTAAAAATATGTTCTTAATCAATTGAAAGATTTGACTAAACTCTAAAGTTAAGCTTCTAAAAGAAAGACGAGGCTTACCTTGGTCTTGTAAAACCTTCCATCCAATACAGATACAATTTTAAAAAGTAAAACCAAACTTGAAGTAATTTGTATTTACTGACCTATTTGTCAATTATTGGGCAAGAAAGAGTGGTTTCGTAAGCATGTGAATAGGTAAGTCATCAAGAAACATTTCCATTTTTCATGTAACTTGTTTTTTACATCTGAGAATTGTGTGAAGTTAGTCCTGTACAGACAAAACTTATATGTTCCTTTTAAATTTATACGTTAAAAATCACAAATCATGAACTAGAGTCCTTTAGCATTTTTATTTTACTAGGTTCTAAGGCCTAAGGGTTATTTTTAATACCAATGTAAATCATTCCATCCTAGTTTCTGTGTATTTTTACTAGTATAATGAAACTATTTATCAATACCGCTAGCAGCTTTGTTCTACAAATCGATGTATTTGATGACAGATGACGAGTGTTACTATCTCCTGTGCGTCGTCCGCCACAAGGAGGAAGTGCTGAGCTCTGACATCATGAGTGCCCGTCGCTCTCTACACAGTGGCAACGTGATCACCTTCCCCAGCAAGTTTGTAGTCAGAGACCTGGACAATGACTTCAAGATCATCATTGAGGTCTTCGCCATGAAAGCTAGACACAAGGAGCTCATTCCTCATGACATCAAGTATCACATCAACACCAACAAAAAGGTTTTTGCAAACCGCTAAACATGACAATCTTATTAAAAAATAAACTTAGTTTACTAGATGAGAAATCACTGCAAATTGTTTGAACACAGTAAACATAGACTCAGTTGTTTGTTAGCATATTGGTTTCAATTTCAAAGTTAGGGTAGCCTTAAAATAATTAGTGAATTCTGATTATATTCTGATTTGTTTGACTCTGAATTGCTTTAACTCAGTCACCATTCATTTTGAACTAAATGATGCTGAATCAAACAACTATTCTATATAAGCCAGTTATTTTTTCACTCTGCAAAGTCACTTTTCCTGTCCTAATAAATTGGGCGATTTTAGTGATAACTTTCTAATTTATTGTCAATTTTGTGCCACCAGGAGGTGAGCAAGTTGAGATTAACTCCTCGCAAGACCAAGCCAGACAAGCGGATGATCACCGTGTCTCCAACTAGAGGGAGATCCACAGCCTTCACTATGGCTGGCCACTTGGTATTGTCTCTACGAGATGTACATCGGAGACAGTTTACACTTTGCAAAGTGAGTGCTCGTGTACATGAATTGTTAGGAGTAGGAATCTATTGTATCCATAATATCTCTAGTATTTACCATATTGGTTTTATGTTAGTCATGTCCATTAAAGAACATCAAACCCTTTGACATTGACATTATTTTATTTCTTTTGCAATGTTTTTTTTAGGTTATGTTACTCTATTGTCAAACAATATACCTTTAACGTAAATAAAATAAAAATAAAAAACATTATACGCTCGCGCCCACCTTCCCAAAAAAAACTTCTAAGAACTGTTACTAGCGTAATAAGAAGCAAACCAGGTGTTGTGTACAATTTCTATTTAACTGACTATTATTCTATACTATCAATTTAAACTTAAACAAGACACTGCCTTTTTAAGGTAATCCCTCTTCCAAGCTAAACCACTCATCTAAGTTTGATGTAGATGTAGATTCATTATGTCACTTGTTATCAAAATCTTTGCATGTAGAACGACCTCAGAGCTACACTTGTCAGAACGTGTTCACGTTAGTCAATTTAGTCATAATTTTACCATAGACCGGACGGGATGAGGGCTGTTACAGCCTGAATCTGACACTTAGCAGGTTAGACTTAACAAATTACTTTAAGACAAGTGCCATTGGGTTAGTGCTAGCCTTGAAATACCGTGTCCTACTTGGTATGTCAAACCACATTGAACATTTAAACATTAGTGAAGTGTATATATAAGATTTTAAAAGTAAATTTTATGTTGCAGAACAAAAACACATACAACAATGTAGTAGAAGGCTCACTGCAGCTACACCTGGACTCGGAGATGCGTGTGGACGTGGAGTACAGAGGGTTCCTCACCATGTTTGAGGATGTGTCAGGCCTAGGTGCATGGCACAGGCGATGGTGTCTGCTGAAAGGGGATAAACTGTCATATTGGCGGTACCCAGATGATGAGCACAAAAAGGTAAAGCATTGATGAGAATTCTATTTATTTATTTATTAATCTACGCGTTAAGGTGGTAGAGATTGGCTAGAATAGTGGTTACAAAAATGAAATAATTTGTACTGAGTGTTAGATATAAACTAGCTTGCGTAACTGTAACAGGATCTCTTTGGAGACCTTAATCTATCTAATGAAATAGGTGTGCACGATTTTTTTTGGGCAGAACTCCTTAGTGGTTTCTCAAACGATTTTGATAGTTTATGGCTCATTGAGCCATTTGGATTTTGTTGACTACTAGCGTTACACTATTCACGCACAGCTGTTAACTACAGGTGGTAAAAACACTGTGGTCTAACCAGAGGGAGAAGGTGCTGGCCGCCTCTCCACACATTAGATTTCCCACCAGAGGAAAAAAAACAGTTTTATTCTACATAAAATATTATGCTAAATAACAAAAACAGATTTTATCTCCTGAATGATGCAACTAAATTGGAGTGTTATTGCTTGTTGCAGTTTCCTCTGGATACTATAGAGCTTTCGCAGTGTACAATCAAGCAAGTGGAGGTAGTGAGACGTGATGTGTGTGCTCGACCAAACACCCTCGAGCTGTACACAGTACGACCAGCACGACCTACAGACATCGAGTCTCTAGTAGTGACCACAAGACGCGACAGGACCTGTGTACGGTGAGTTACTTAAGTAGACTTGTACGCGAGGGTGGGCAGAAAGTGACAAATGTATTGAAATGAAAAGTAATGAAAACTCTTCATTTAGGAATCCAAGCATTGAAAAATATGGCATTTATTATGTCACTAGCAGAGTACCCGTCCTTCGTACGGGGTTGGCATATAAGTATCAAATGCTTATAGCAGTTATGAGTGAGGACATGGTTTAAGAAATTTCGGTTCTTTTTGAAGTTCGTTCGCTACGCTCACTCACCTTTAGGTTGGAGCTCGTTCGCTGCGCTCACTTTCCTTCAGGTTAGCTCGTTCGCTACGCTCACTTGCCTTCAGGTTAGCTCGTTCGCTACGCTCACTCGCCTCCAGGTTGAAGTTCGTTCACTACGCTCACTCACCTTTTGCTGTTGTCATAAATGTAAAAGAAATAATAGTGCTAGTGGTGCACCCTGTTGGTAATCCTTGTAACTTTTAATGCTATTGAACATCATAGAACAGAACCAACTTGTTTAATTGAAACAGCTGTTAAGATTCATTAATTCCATTTCTCATAAGGTTAACATGGGAAACTCCAGAGCCACTGGGGCGGAGCCCCGAAGGATTTTTGGGATAAAAATATGCCTATATGTTAATCGGGAATGTGAGCTATCATCATGCCAAATTTCAGCCCGATCCGACCAGTAGTTTTTGAGATTAGCTCATACAAACACACACACAGACACCACCTCTTCTTTATAATAGTATAGATTACACTAACTCATTGATGCCCTCTGTAAAGAATCATTAATTTTGGGATACCTTGTAAAGTGGGCACCCTATCTTGGTAGATGAACCAGTTCTAGATACAAATTGAACACAGTCGTATACATAATGTGCTGTTGTCAAAATTTGAATTTGTCTGCTAGTTTCTGTTGCTGTGATAGTTGATGTTAACATCATATAGTTTTAAATAAGTTCAATAAACTAACATACAATTCCCAGTTTCTAGGTCGGCTGGCTACCGTCACATAGTGGTTTTCGTATTGCACTATACTATACCATTTAAGTGGCAAATGCAATATTCCCACTAAAAATCATTCTCCTTTTGACATTTTTTCACTTGTTGTAAAATCCTGTTTCTTATCCCTATAAGGTCAATAAAACAAATTTTGATTTAGATTTATGTCACCATGTGTTTTTATACGTCCTATCAATAATTTTGGTAACTAACATCATTTAACCTAAAACTAATTAGCACATGTTCTAGTTGTTGACAGTGATTTACGACATTTTGTTTGCAGACATTGGCTGTCGGCTGACACCAAGGAGGAACGAGACCAGTGGTGCCACCACCTCAACAAAGCCCTCAGCTTAATGAGAGCCTGGGGCACGTCAACAAATTTTTAAGTTTGGCGATGCTGACAATCATACAGCTGTTTACCTGCCAAATAACCCAAAGCTTTAGTTTTAGCAGTCTCAAACTACATATGCAGTCCAGGTCAAATCTGTGGAGAAGGTCCATTCCCTGATCCACCTAGTGTATATCAATGCTACATGATTTTAGAAGATTCAGGTAGTAATCATATGCTGTCACAATCTATTACCATGACCTACCACTTTTGCAGTAATTTTTGTTCTAATTCCTTCAACAATTTTAAAGGTATGCATAACTTTGATCAACAGGTGAGCATTTAACTATTGGTCATATATTTTATTAAATCCATGTATAGCTCAAGAATGGAGTCAAAGTCAAGATAATCATACTTACGAACGTTTCATGTAAAAATAAAACAACAACTTTGTTGTTCCCTACCTGCACCTCCCAAAATCCAGTTGCTGATTCAGAGACCTTTATTGTACTATAGAACTGCTAAAACTATGTAAATTGCAATTTGGATCTCTTTACCTTGTGATATAAATAGTTTATGTTGTCAAACATAATTCTTATTAACTATTGTTATTGTTAAACCCTAGGGATTAGTTTTTAAAGAACTAATGCAATGTTATACACTACTTTGGATATTTAATGTTATATAAAGACACTAAAAACTACACAGGCATTCTAATTGTAGCAATGGTACATGTTTTAAATTTATTTTAAATAATTTCAAAGTTGTATAGAGTCAAGTGTACGTCTAGTTGTCATTTGGCAACGTTCTTTCCAGATATTTTGACTATGAGTTGTGTTAAAATGCACACTTAACTTATAATAGAATAGTTTAGAATATAACTCTATTGCCACAATATATATACATTTTAAGTGCTCTAGCACAGCTGGGAAAACAGGTGACATTGTCAATATTCTTCTTAAAACTAAATTCATGAGATATAGGTCCAGTCCAGATAAAATATAAATCATTGTCATTTAAATAATCAGTTATGTAATAATACAAATTAGATACGAGACAAGACTTTGGTTGTGTGGCCAAGTTTTTTGCATTTTTAAATTTAGAGATGTCTTGAATTTCTTTGAATCTGGTACGAATAAGGTGATGTTTAAAATAAACAGAGGCGGAAGACCGCCTCCAATAATAGGATATTGGAAGTCATTTTTGAAATAAGTGGTATAATTATGTTCAAACTGATTAGTTCTGTATGATTTTTTTTATACTAAAGATTTATTTGAATATATAAAGACTGGGCATGGTTAGTATAGCGTTTAATTCTAACAAAGGTTTGATTGCAGAAATATCGTGAACACGGAACTGAAAAGAAAATTAACTAAATCATTCTTGGTCCCGACAAATTCGTAGTTGGGTTCCCTACAGTCGTGGTGAAGGTAAAATCGTGGGCATCTTCTGCGATCGTATTCTACCTCCAGGATGAAAGAACATCTTGCGCCATCGCGAGGACATTACCGTCTATTATGATCGTAGCGAAATCTTGAACAACTTCCACATTTGCGAGGACATCATCTTCGTCTACCAATATCGGGAGAAAATCATGAATGGCTCTGTGGTCTTGGAGCAATTTTAAACATCTTTCGCGGTTGCGAGACCTGATTATCGTCACCTGCGATCGCTGGGAGTCGTGATTTTTGTCGCGCAATCGTTGCAGATGCTTCCGGCAATCGAGAGAATATAAGTTCGATTTGAAAAGTTGTATGTAATTCTAACAGATTATTATATTCTAACAGCAAAATTTATAACCAGTCAAATCCGGAAAAAAGGTCTTATTTTCACCCTTTATCCATTCTTTACTTAGAAAATATAAAGCTTTACGCAGTATGTGTAGCAAAATATCAAACCTTTAACTAGTATTAAACATGGAAACAACAAACAAAAATTGCAAGTTAAGTTTATCATATTTGTACATTCTCTTCTCAGTATACATTACTTTTTCCCCTTCTATCCCTAATCTTTTGTAAATATTTTTAAAATGTTAATATTTAATCGATCTTGGTTGTATTTTTGTACAACAATATCATTAGTGCAATTTATTTATTTGTGAAACTGATTGCCCATCTCTGCGCTCTTATTGGTACCTTATTATTGGTCATGAGGTAGTTTATTGGTAGTGATTGGTAATTTGTTATAAAAGAATCTTGACTGATTAAATAAGCCTTTTACATTAATAACTAATTTAATTTAGATGTAAGATAGTATTTTTATTAGCTTAAGTAAACTCCTTTATGAAATATTTAGAGTTTTACAGACAAAAAGTATTAATGTTTTAGATTTTATTGTATCTTATTTTTAAGTATAAAGAACAAAGTTTATACTATCCAAACTGGCCATTATTTTGACCCATTTTTCCAAAGTAAGAAATTAGAGGAGAAACCATGGATTGTACTGTTTGATTATTCAGATTGGGGCTCAAAAATATTCACCAGGACCAGTGGACGGGTTAAGCCTATTATAACCTTCCAGTAAACCTATAAACAAATTGGAAGGATCATGTTTGAGGATCATAGGTAAACATAGGATTCCGTTGTTATCAGTGGCAATTTTCTGTGTTTAGTGGTGATTTAAATATTAATCGGTAGTTTAAGTATTTTAACCGAAAAGTCTAGATTAAAAACTGTGTATGCATTGGATACACAGGGTGAGTTTTAACTCCCTTCCCCTCTCCTTTTTTTTACAGTATAAGTTAGAATGTTTCAACTCTGCACATCCTTGTTAGACCTAAATATCTAGTTTTTCTTGGTCTCATTGACTCTCCACCTCCGATGGGGGACAGTCCACGAGGATTGAGGAGTAAGCCGAGATTCTTAAATGTAAGCTTAAGTTAAATCATAGAAAACGTACTACTATAACCCAGAATGCCAACCGCATGGTAAAAAGCATTAAGCGGTTTGAGAGAGCTTTGCCTGTCAATCGGTAGGCAGTGCCACCAGCGTTGCTATGCTATTGCATGGCAACGCTGGTGGCGCTGCCTACGGATTGACAGGCAAAGCTCTCTCAAACCGCTTAATGCTTTTTACCATGCGGTTGGCATTCTGGGTTATAGTAGTACGTTTTCTGTGGTTAAATGTACATGTCAACCCATGCTTAGATTTAAGAATCTCGCCTTTACTCCTCGTGGACGTTCCCCATTGGAGGTGTGAGAGTCAATGAACCCAAGAAAAACAAGATATTTAGGCCTAACAAAGATGTGCAGGGTTTAAACATTCAAACTTATACTGTTTAAAAAAAGTAGGGTGGATGGGACTTTAAACTCACCTGTATATCCCCACAAAATGCATATTGTCTACTTATAAACTCTTCATCATTGAACAGCTTTTTCGTAAAGATGTTTCCTATTTAACCAAATTAGGAATCCAATCAAGAGCAGTTGGTTTAGAAAAATACTGTGAGAGTAACACAATTACCCTAGGGTTGTTTGGTGTAGGGATGTATATGCATATGTTACCACTATTATTGTGGTGAATAGTGGCTGGTAATAGGGTATGGTTTGGTGAAAAATAGCGTTCGTACTACGGGCCGAAAATGAGGTTTTGCCGGCTCGAGATGAATCCAAATTTAACACCTCCTCTTACCAGTGGATATTTGTGAGGGGAAAATAGTAGGTACCTGTAAGCATTGCTATGTTACATGTAAGTATGGTTTTTATTAACTGAAAATTAAAGCTTAAACTGAAAAATAATTTGTGAACTTTTAATTTACAAAAGCAAAAAAATAGACCAATTCTTTTATTTTTTTGTTTGTATTTCAGCCCCACATCAAACCGTTGGCCTAAAAAATAGAAGCATTTTGTAGGTAATTAAATTCTCTATAAACTTGATTGTGATACTTGTTTTCCTAGAAAAAATAGATTACTGAATTACAGCAATCTAAAGTTAGAAATTTGGCAAAATATACAAAAATTAGATTTTTTTTGTTAAAAAAATTTAATATTTTCGTATCCATAAGTCCTAGAAACAAATTGTTAAACTTACATTATAGGAAATTTAATTGTCTACAACATTGACGTTACATATTTTTCGCTAAAACACACCAAAACGGAGATATAGGTGAAAATCTTTAGAAAGTACTGATTTTTTTATTTTTCCAATATGGCGGAGGGGGAGAATTGTGCATTTTGCATTTTAAACACCTACTTACCATCCTAGGCTACAATATTTTTATAAAAAATTTTGAACTACTGGACCGTTTGTAAGTTAACCCCCTATTTTTGTTTTTATTTACTGGACTAATATAGTCCCCATATCAAACGAAATATGGTTCGGTTGAATATTGTTTTCTAAAAGCGCGGATGAGTAAATATTTTAGACAACAGATGTAAAGATAAAAAATGTTTCTATTTCGCCCCCTCTAGGGTACAACATCTAATATTTCAATATAATAGGCATAACATTATATATAGCAAATATTTCAAACAAAATGATTATTTCATCACAAACGTTCAAACTGGTACTTAGCCTACTTATACAACTCTTATTTATAATAGGTCACGACTGGTGTCCTAGAACAGCACCATGATAAAAATTGAATGAGTCTTTATATGTCTTGCAATATGCAAACATTTTACCATACGAAAACTGAAATACAACAATTAATTTATTTATCACGAACATTCAAAATTTTTAGTCAAAACGGCAGTAGGCTAAAACATTTAAAATTTCAATTTCCAATTTATTATTTTTACAATATTCCCTATTTTGCCTGAAATATACTCGTATAAATCACGTTCTTGTAATAAAAAAAATAGTGTCACCAAAATTGTTGAATTTTTGTAGTTAAAATACAACTTCTTTCGAAAATCTATCAGGGACTCGCGTCCAAGAATAGTAGCCATGCCCGATGGATGAAAAACTGAACGAATTATAAAACTTATGCAATATGTAAAACATTTTACAGAAAGAAACTTAAATGCAAAAAGGTTGATTATTATAAACATTCAAAAACGCCTTTAAGAATAGAAGTGTACTACGTTTACAATTTTAATTTCCAAGTTTTTTCCATTAC